GACACCCCATGTCTAACTTTGTATCCATGCAGAGTTTATCACCACAATACCGAACCTTTCTTTCTCAAGTTCTGTCTCAGCTAGTTCCCTCGTCTGTGCAAGAAGCTTTAACCTCAAAACCATGGAGGGAGGCCATGAACGAGGAGATGAGAGCGCTGAAAAAAAAAAAAGGGAGACCTGGGAAGTTGTTGATTTACTGGAAGGGAAAAAGACAGTGGGTTGCAAATGGATTTTTACAGTCAAATACAAAGCTGATGGCATTTTGGACAGATACAAGGCGAGGCTAGTGGCCAAAGGGTACACTCAAACGTATGGAATAGACTACCACAAGATGTTTGCACCGGTGGCGAAAATACAATTAGAGTTCTTCTATCTTTGCAGCAAATAAGGATTGGCATCTACATCAGTTTGATGTGAAGAATGTTTTCCTCCATGGAGACTTATAAAAAGTCTATATGGATATTCCACTGGGGTATGAGCTGAAATTGTGGAAAAATAAGGTATGCAAACTTAAAATCCCTCTATGGCCTTAAGCAGTCTCTACGGGCTTGGTTTGGGAAGTTCACTAAGTCAATGTTAGAAAGGGGGTACTTTCAATGTCAAGGTGATCACACCTTATTCATAAAAAGATCCTCCATTGGAAGAGTCACTGCCTTAATTGTATTTATAGACGACATTATTGTCACGGGTGATGACATTGAAGAAATGATGGCGTTGAAGATTTATTTAGCAAAAGAATTCGAGATCAAAGAGTTGCGAAAACTAAGATATTTTCTTGGAATTGAAGTTGCTAGATCTAAGCAGGGGATCTTCATTTCTCAACAAAAATACACCCAAGATCTTCTTCGGAAACAGGTATGCTCCGCTGCAAACCCATTGATACTCCGATAGAACCAACCACAAGTTAGGAGGAAAAAGGGAAGAAGAAATGGTTGATCGTGGAATGTACCAGAGAATGGTTGGAAAACTGATTTACTTGTCACATACAAGGCCGGACATAGCCTATGCAGTAAGTGTAGTGAGTCAGTTTATGCATTCCTCACTTAGATCACACCTCGATGCAGTTTATAGAATCATCAGATACTTGAAAGGGACATCGGGCAAGGGACTATTATTTCGGAAAGATAAGGAGGTTAAATTAGAAGCATATTCCGATGTCGATTGGGTTGGATCCATGGTTGATAGGCGGTCAACTACCGGCTACTATACCTTCTTAGGAGGGAATTTAGTTACGTGGAGAAGTAAGAAACAACCAATGGTTGCTCTCTCTAGTGCAGAGGCAGAATTCAGAGCTATGACTCAAGGGATATGTGAACTACTCTGGCTGAAAATGATACTCTCAGATTTTAGGGTAGAAGTGAAGGACCCACTGATGTTATACTGTGATAATAAAGTAGCTATAAATATAAATCAAAAATATATATATATATATATATATATATATATAGATCATAATCCAGTACATCACGACCGGACCAAACATGTGGAAGTGGATAGACATTTCATTAAGAAAAAATTGGACTCGAGACAAGTTTGCACTCCATACGTTCCATCCTCTAAACAGATTGTTGATGTGCTCACTAAAGGATTATCTAGCACAATTTTTCATCAGATTGTAGACAAGCTTGGGATGCAAAATATCTTTGCACCTGCTTGAGGGGGAGTGCTAGAATAGTTGACTTATTATTCTTTCTGTAAATAGGCTGTACAAATATGATTGTAATTTAGATCCCTTAGCTCTTAATTTAGGAGAGTAAGGAAAGTTACCTAGTTTAGCCTAATGTAGGTCTACTCTAGTATTTATATATATTTGTGTAATTCTTCTATAATAAAAAGCAAAGTGATTCATTCTTCACCAATTGACAATTGGCATTGGAACATGTATTCTCAAGATGATATGTATGATAGATAATTTATTTTGACTTGATTAGCTTGATCACATAAATTTGGATCCAGTTGATGAAATTATTTTATTACATATTTATTTACTAAATATATATATTATTTTCTCAAAATAAATTTTTATGTGATCAAATGGAATTAATCAAAAAGTTAAAATAAGGGTAAATTACTAATTGGATTGTTTACATTATGTTAGCATATATGATAGCCACGATTTATGAAATGACTTACCATATTAGCAGAGATTTGATTATGCATATGTTAGTATATATGATAGCCACGATTTATAGAATGACTTACCATATTAGCAGAGATTTGATTATGTTATAGAATATGCCATAGAATATGTTGTGATTGGATTTAGATTTGATTTAGTTTCTTATCTTGTAATATGAGCATATGCTCTTTTTATCTATAAATAGTAGAGATGTGAATGAGTGATTCATCTCATTCAAGCCTTTACATAATTCTCTCTTTTGTCTTGTATATTGTATTTCTACTTGATATCAGAGCCAGCACCTTTTCACACCTTTCAGCAGTCTTGCTACTTATGCAACAGCCTCCTTAGGTTGTTTGTGACATTGTGTGACGTTGCCTACACCTGTTTTTCTATGTTGTTATTTTGTGATCGAAAACAAGTAAATTTAAGTTTTACAATTTCTTTTTTACTCGTCTAGGGTTGGGCAAATTGCGATAGTTGATCTCCAACACCTAGAAGTGCTTGGGTAAAAAAAAAAATTAGTCTACAGAGAGGTTCCTGATATTAAGAAAGAGGTTGTCTAACTATATATAAGCGGACAGCGCTCCTTAAAAAAAGTATGTATCTGGATTTTTCGGGAATGGTCTGAGGAGATATTGTTATTGTTTATGGTCTGAGGAGAGTAGGAGACCATTTGATTTATTAACAGAATTTGTGGTGTTTTGGAGTTTTTCATTGTCGTGTGACATATTATGGCAGATTCAGGGTCCTCAGCTATTAATTCCAACAACCCCCCTAAATACAGAGTTGTCGAGAGTCCGAGACGAGTTGATCCGAAGATCTGAGACGAATTGATCCAAAGATCCGAGATGAGTTGATCTAAAGATTCGAGAGGAGACGAATTGAGTATAAAGTAGGGTATGATAAACCTACTCTGATACCATGTTGAAAGATATAAAAGGTGAAGAGAGAAATTAAACATGAAGACCACAACACACAAAGCCCAAAGGGCCACATCACTTTTGTTATATTCTCTCTTCAGATTGTTTACAATGAGAACCTATATTTATAGGTGAAAGAATACAAGTGCTAAATATGAAAAATGCTTTGATGGAGAATTTCTAAAATCAATTCTATAAATCACTCCAGTCCATATTCTATCATAGGCTAAAATCACTCATATAATATTCTCCAAAAAGATGGATTTAAACCCAATGGCAGAGATGGAATCTTATATGGATTTTGGGGCTATTGGGCTGATGAATTCTTTGAGCATTACTTGTGAAACAGTGCGTTGGGCCAAACTTATATCATTTGGGCTAAATGATTTAAAATGCAAATGGATTATGGACCTTAGAATCAACAAACTTGTTCACAAGCTTTACAAGCCGAGCTCGACAGTGTTCAGGCTCAGCTCATTTACTAAACGAGCTTGAAAATTGAGTTCAAGCTCGGCTTGTTTACTAAGTGAATGAGCCCTAGCTGTATCATTTGCAGCCCTACTTGTGGATTCCATACAAGGTCATAGGAGTGAAGATTTGGGAATGTTTGAAGCCATTAAAGTGCAGCCTAAAGCTTGAAGAAAGCTGAAAGAATTGAAGTTTTCTCATAGTAGACGATCTACCATTTGTCCAACGGTCGTATATTCTTCTTCTTCTCCACTAATACTTGATTCACAAAAACAAATGGGATAAAATTTTGCTTCCCCTAAATAAACCCGTTTTCCAACAAATGATCCATATAATATCAATTTAGAGAAAGCATGAGATTTCATGAGGTGCTACTAACATATATGAAGAAGTTTTGAATACTGGATGAACTTTTGACAGTGACAAGTGAATAGCCTTGCATCATGGCATCATTTCCTTATGTTTATGTTATTTGTGGAAAAAATGACCAGACATTGAAAAAGGTCATATGTTGTTTTGATCTTCCAACAAATCGGGTAACTGAAAGTGGAAGAGCGCCTAGCTTTGTTTTAAAATCAGCCCCACTATGTACGTGCTCTCCCCAGTTTGTATACCTTTTTTTTTTCACCATGAATATATGGTTTATGTTAATGAAACTAAAATAGGGATAATTGCTAAGTTAGATTTGTGGAGACTAAGACATGAAATGTTGACTTAGGAAAACCAAAAATAGAAATGGAAAACTAGTTAATATTAGTGATCAAAAGATATAAATAGCCACCCCATTTTCACTATTTAGGCCTGGCTGTCCACGAGGAGCAAGACATTTAGAGGATGTTGGCATGGAATGTATTAAGTGGAGTATTGTTTTGGGAGTGTTGTGCAATGGTTGCATAGCTACAAAATTTAGTGGAAAGTTTTGCCAGACAATTAGAAAACTAGCCAAGTTATATGGGATAAATTGTGGGTAAGTAAGAAACTCATTGGTAAAATAATAGTGACATGAAAGTTGAGATTAATGAGTAGTGACTGCAATCAATAGAATTATGGATGAATTTGTGAATTAAAATTTGGAACTGAACTAGGTCCAATTAAGGAGAAAACATGGACCAACAAGTGAGAACTGAAATGACTCATGTTGAAGGTATGGCAAGGGTGGGGAAGACCAAAAATGATGTAGGTAGCGAGTCAATGAAATTAAGGATAATAAATATAGCTGATTGGCCAAATTGGATTTGTGTGGCCAACCTCGACTAGTTAAAAAAAAAAATAGGTTTTCTTTTGTTGAGTTAAATTGATTTGATTTGACATCCGTAAAATGGAAAACATACCCATCAGTTTCTAGTGGACCTTCTCAATAGTTGATTTATATATTGGTATCTTTCACTTAAACTTGCATATTTTGGTGTAACTCCTTTCCAGTACAATGCTGTTTTTTTATATCCTTATTTCTTCCCTTGAGGTTTTTCTTAAAAACGTTTGTATTACAGTTGTGCTCGCGGCAGCCCAAAACGACAGATATTGTATCAGAAAGCTGGACTTTTTCAGGTACTTTCCTTTTTCAATCTTTAACAAGTTCTATGCTTGCTGCATCAAATTGCAGAAATTATTAAGTGGATGCTATTAATTTTACTGCTACTATTGACAGGTGCCTTATTTGGAAGATCCAAATACCGGGGTTCAATTGTTTGAGAGCGCAGAAATAGTTGATTATTTAAGAGCAACTTACATTCTTTAGGTGAGGCTGCTCAAAACTAGATGATTGTTGAAGCATATAGTCATTCCAGTGCAATGACTTCTATTAGTTCAAATATAACTTTCATTATATCCTTCATGTACTAATGATTATTGGTGTAATGTGTTATTTGTCAGAAAAAATAAAATTTCTTTCATTGGTTTGTTTTCCATCAATTTGATTTGCCATTTTGTGATTATTTGAGTAAGGTTGAAAGAGAGAATTTGAATGGGTAAAGCAGTTGCAAATTGGTTGGTTTGCCTTCTCAGGTTATAGCTTCAACAGGTTTTTTCAGACTTACCAAGCACTTCAGTTGATGGTGTACTAGAGAGAAAAAACAAAATACTTTTTTTTCCATCAAATTGGGATATGTTTGGCAACAGATTTTGTACAACAATATCACATCTTTGACTCTGTCTAGACCTTTTAATGATTGTTTATATTTGACTCTCCCCAGTAATGGACAGGTTAACCCTTTCATATATGTACAACAAAATATACACAGTAGGGGATGTGATACAGATATTGCGCAAGAAATTGGTAATGACATTGAAAACTAAAAATGAAATGTTAAAGTTAAACTGATCTACTGTAGAATGCCTAAATAACAGGACATTTTGTCCAATTTCAAAATAAACCCGTCAGTGTCATGTTTGAAATGTACTTAAACTCCAATTTGCCCTTAAAACACTTGTAAAGTCATTTTTGTTCATATGTTGTAATTATAAATAACTAAAATGCCCCCCATTACATAAAATAAGTAGGCAAAAGTACTATTTGGTAAAATATTTTATAAAATCTCCTCTCCACACCCAATTCCACCCATTTTGAAGTCTCTCTCTCACTACAGAGCTGGAGAATGAAGAGTTGTAGCGGTTCGGATCACATGATTCCCATATGTAGAGAAGCACAAAGGCATTTTCTAGTTTAGAATATTTCCGTAGGGAGAAAAATAGCAACAAAATGAAGCAAATTATATCACTTTAATCTGTTCCCCAAAGTGAAATAAAATACGAAGTATCAACACATAAACTGGACAAATTTCCTTTCAAACCAAGATATCAAAATGCGGACAGTAATTCTTTTGTCAGTTTTGCAATAAGGTGTCATCATGAATCAATTAATAACTAAATGATAAAAAAAATAATAATAATAATAAATAAATAAATAAATAAACAACAACAACAACATTTACCGTGATTGTGAATACTAGAGCATAAATAAAATTAAATAAGAATTTGATGCAGGCATAATTTCAAATTCTGCAAGTGGGATTTATGTTTTCCAGCAAGCTTTCATATTTTGAAAGTTTCTTTATTTTTATCAGTTCTCCTTTTTGAGTAGTTTTCTGATTTTCAACCGCTTTCTTGTTTTGGTTTTATTTCATATTTGGTAGTTAGCTAATATAAGATTAGGATTGGGGAGGAAGAAATTTTATATAAAGCCTTATAATTTTTATGGTTCAATCAGTTTTAGTTGAAGAGATTATTATTATATTTTATAGCAAATAAAATTTTCTTTGCAATTTCTCCTTTTCTCTTGCATCTTTCTTTTATTTCGTTTTACAATTATTGTGAAGACGATTTGATCGTCTCCTCTTGGTAAGGCAGCATCAGTTTGGTATCAGAGCTGAAAAACCAGGAGGAAATCATAGGATGGAGAATCTGGCTGAACCCTTACCCAAGCAACACAAAAGCGAGATGGAATTTTTGTGGAGACAAGTTGAGTTGTTGACTCAACTATTGGGTCAACGTATTGTCAACACGCTGATTGATGGCGATGTTTCGGTGGATGATGATGTGTTAGATTCTGAGACTATTGCGAAAAATTCTTTCTATTTTTTGCGTCGCCATATATCACTCAACAAGTAGACTAATCATTGTTGGCCAACATATATCGATTTCCAGGTTTCTGATTTTTATAAGGACAATCTTGAAGAGGATTTTTTGAATCCTTTTTGTAGTAACACAACATCCAAACCAGCACCTATTCCAATTGATGAAAAGCGTTGGAATGGTGACTTTATGGAGGAAAGTCCTGAATTTGTAGGAAATCTTGAAGGAAAGGAAAAACAACTTTTGATCGTGTGAGATGATGCAACCCCAATGGTCAAACCAAAATATGATGATTACCCAGAGGATGATATCATATATGGAGATATAGGTGAATTCTTGGTTATGCAAAAGCCAGTATTGATTCTGAAACATGAGGATGATAAGAAAGTTACAAAGGAAGGATCTTAAGATGAAGTATGTGTGGTTATCATGAAGATTTTGGATCCATGGAGATAAAATAAAATAAATGAAGGATTTTACTTTTATGATATGGATTAGGATGAATTCTTGGAGTGCAATACGACTGTCAGGCGGTTGTTGGAAGAAAAATTAAATTTGATTAAACTTTTAGTTCAGGATATCGAGTCTTGCGAACATACCTAATTTCAAAGGACATCTAGCAAAATTCATGTTTGTTCTGCAACTGTGTTCTTTGTTAGTATAAGAAGATTAACATATTTGGTTCGAGTTCAGAAAAGAAAAAAGAACTACATTGGCTGGAAGAGAAATTTTCACATTGTGCTTACTACGCAGGAGTATAACTTTGTGCTCACTCAAGAATGCCTTCCTATGCCTGGCCTTAATGATAGCCATGAGCTAAAGGAAATGTACAAGAAGTTGCAAAAGGTTGATGAAATGGCTTAGTACTATATTTTAGCTTCAATGTCAAACGTTTTACAACATCAGCATCAGTCTTTTGTCACTGCTTGTGACATTTTGTTGAACCTTAAGGATTTGGGGAACAAAGTAGAGCGGCACGACAAGTCGCAATGAAATAGATTATGAACGCTAGTATGCCTAAAAGAACTCCAGTTGGCGATCACCTTTTTAAAAATGATTTCTTATTTAAGTGGACTATAGGTTCTTGGGGCAAACATTGATGGTGAGACTCAGGTTGATATAATTTTGCAATCATTGCCAGAGTCGTTCAATCAGTTTAAACTAAATTATTCTATGAACAACATGGCTTATTCTTTATCGGAACTGATGAATGCTCTGCAAGCTGTAGAAGGAATTTTTAAGGGTCAAGGGAGTGTTCACACAGTGGGAAAGGTTTCTTCTTCTCATGGAAAGTCGAAAGGCAAGAACCATAATAAGAAACAAGGTTTCACTGTCCCCAAAAAGGTTGGTACTAGTGTTGGGATTGTCAAGGCTAAGGGTAAGGCTAAAATCAAAGGAAATTGTTTCCATTGTGGTAAAGAAGGGCACGAGAAAAGGAATTGTCAGGTGTATCTAGCAAAGAAGCAGCCTGAAGGTATGCTTCAGTCTTTAGTCACTCATTATTAATACATGAAATGTGGTTGGATATACGGATACCTGGTTTGTAGATTCTGGAGCCACTAACCATGTTTGCAATTTATTGCAGGGTTCCAGGAAATTAGAAGACTGAGTGAAGGGAAGATATTTATCTTCATCATCCTTCACAAGCAAGGGTAGCGCCAGTATCAATAACAATAGTTATTTTAAAATAAATTATAGGAGTTTATTATTAAGGATTGTCTTTATGTACTAGAGAGTAAAAGATATTTGATTTCTATTTTAGTTTTTTCAAACTCTGGGTTTTCAATATCTTTTGATTCAGAAGTTTTAATAAATAAAAATAAAAGGTTTATTTATTCTGGTACATTGGTCTTTATTTAATTATTGAAATAATTGATGTGTTGAATGTTTTACAATTAAAAGGAAAGATTCCTTCGAATGACTTTATATATTTTTGGCATATGCAGTTAGGTCATATTATTCTAAATAGGATCCAAAAACTGTCCAAGGATGGGCCTTTGGGATTTTTAGTGGTTAAACCACTTCCAGTTTGTGAATCCTACTTAGAGGGTAAAATGACCAAATGCCTTTTAAGGACAAGAGGCATACAAGCTAAAAAAGTACTAAAGTTAGTGCATACAGATGTATGTGGTCCTATAAATGGGATCATATCCCAAACTTCTGCACCAGACACACCATAACAAAATGGTATTATAGAAAGAAGGAATAGAACTTTACTGGACATGGTAAGATTGATGATCAGTTTTTTCAAGTCTACCAGTATTCTTTTGGGGCTCTATCTAAAGCAGTTTCAAACACTCCCAAGGAATTGTATACCAGGTGTAAGCCTAGTTTACAAAAATTATGTAAATGGGAGTGTCCTGCACGTGTGTGGAAAGGAAAGCTTGAAAAGTTGGGGCCGAGATTAGATGTTTGTCTATTTGTGTGGGCTACCCAAATGGTATAAAGAGTTATTCATTTTATGATCCTAAAGAGAAAAAAGTGTTCATTAGAACGAATGCTACTTTTCTTGAGGAGGATTATATAATGAATCACCATCCTCAAAGCATGACAATTTTAGAGGAGATGATAGATATACCAATCAATCCAAGAGTGGATATGACAGTTGTGGATGATGAGACATCAAAAACTATGAGTCCAGAACCTTTTATTATGTCAAAACCTCAACGTAGTGGGAGGGTTATTAGGCTATCTAACAGGTTAATGCTCTTGGAAAAATCTAACGAGATGATCCCAAAAGAGCAAGATCACTCTATACTTATGAAAAGGTTACGAATGATTGTGACTCAGAACGTTCGGTTTGATTGAGTGGTCAAATCATTTGAACTTGATTAGAATCTTAATAGGCTTGGGTATACAAGAAGAGTAATGGAAATGTGGTGGTGTTTTAAAGAAATAGTTCAGCATAGGGATATTGTTGTCACTGAGGTTGCATCTGCGAGTAATCTTTTTACAAAGACTTTACCTATTTCGGTTTTGGTGTCTCTTGTAGAAGGAATGGATGGTAATTGTTTTTGAGTGTAAGTGGGAGATTGTTAGGATTATATACCCTAAAATCCAATTATATACTTTTAATATTTGACATTTGGTTAATAAATATGATTTATTAAATTAGATATTAATGCATTGGGTTTTTCATATATTTGGATGAGATGCATTTTAGTCCTAAAGTTGCATTATAGGTTACTTAAGTGTGTCAATGAGATTTACACACAAGAGATTTGAGTTCACCAGTTTCTTGCACCTTAGTATCGTTCACAGTCGATGATAAAAGTTACGCACTTTTATCTGTAAGATTATAACACACTTGACCTCTATGGGATAAGATGGTTTGTCTCAACCATTAGGGTAGTTGACTCTAAATTAGTGTGTTAGTGTGCTTAAAGTACACTGAACTAGATTACCATAAGATCACACCATACAAATTACTGTTATTATTTTGGTGTAATTCTTATCTACTAAATACATTAAGCTCTAAATCCTGAGAGTTTTAATGGACTCAAATTTCAGTATTAGTCACTTTGACTTACTAACGTGTGAGATCTTTTAAAATCAATACCACGGTATCTTGGGTGGCTAATGTTGGAGCTCTGGGAACACAAATGCTCAACATGGAATCCATACTCTATAAGAGTTAGAATATCCCCTTGATGCAATTTAATAAGTTTAATCACTGAACAGGAATTTTTAGTAAAATGTTTACTAAATTAATTTTCTATTATTTATTTAGAAAAATATTTATTTTGTAAAAGAATTTATTCAGTGATCATAAGGATTAAATTGGTTACTCAAGGAATATAAGATATAAGTAAGCCTTAGGTGGGACGGTATATATTTTCCTATGGCTACTTATGGATATTCGGTAGTGGAGGAATTTATATATAATTATTTAGTAGGATAGGGCCTTGTTGTAATTTTCAAATCTTAGAGTGCAATTACAATAATATAGTGGTAATTATTGTAATTAATTGGATAGGGTAGAGTTATGAGATAACTCAACCTCTATCCAATTGAAGCTAAGATAAGGATTCCCTTTGATCCTCATCTCTAGCCCTATCGCTTAGATGGTGCATATATTGTCGTTGCTCTCAGGTTTGTATTACGAAAATAACAGACGTAAAAACTATTTTTTGAAAATAGAGAGAGTGAGGCTAATAGGCATACGATTCCAATAAGCCAGACTATCTATTCAGGGGTCACAGAGGTGAAGTTTCACTGGTGTTCAGGCTAAAGGAGGAGTGCGTGTGTTTCACTGTTGTTCTCAGAGTGTTGTCGTATTGACGATTAATCAATCGTCCAAAGCTATGAAATTCTATTTTTAGTACTTCTTAATTTGATGAAAAATTACATGGTCACGTTCCAAAAAAATTTATAATCGCCTCCGTTTTGCCTTCAACCATATACATATAAGGTTTACTTGTTCATCACATATAACCCCTTCTATATAAAGCAAAATTGTTGATACACCACTTGAGCACAACACAAGACTTAATCTACATGATGGTGAAGACCTTCTAGATGGTACTTTATATCGACAGTTGGTTAGTAGTCTGGTTTATGTCATTGTCACATGTCCAGACATCTCTCGTCCACATAGTTAGTCAGTTCATGGTTGTTCCTAGATCTACTCATTTTGCCGCAGTTCTTCACATCCTTCGTTATCTCAAAGGCACTATGTTTTATGGGATTTACTTTTCTTCTCAATCGTCATTTGTTCTTCGTGCTTATTCAGATGCCGACCGGGCAGGAGATCCTACAAATCGTCGTTCCACCACAAACTATGGTTTCTTTCTTGGTGATTTACTTATCTCTTGGCGGAGTAAGAAACAAACTGTAGTTGCTCAATCTAGAATAGAAGTTGAATACAGTGCACTTGCTGATACTACATTTGAGCTTCTGTGGTTACGTTGGCTCCTTCAAGACATGAGAGTTTCTTCACCCATTGCCACTCCTATCTATTGTATTAATAGAAGTACAATTCAAATTGCGCACAATAATGTTTTTTACAAGCGTACCAAACACATTCAGATCGATTACCATTTTGTTCATCATCATCTTTTTCAGAAGACCTTACAGTTGCGGTTCATTACTTCCTATAATCAAACAGCAAATGTCTTCACCATATCGCTTCCGCCAGGCCATTTCAAGGATCTTGTTTCCAAATTCAAGATGACTTCAAATAACCCACCTTGAGTTTGAGGGGGCACTTACAATATATTGTATATGATTACCATATACATAGAGTTACCATATACATATAGAGTTTACTTGTTCATTGTTAGAATATATTGTATAGGATTACCATGTATATAAAGTTACCATATACGTATATTACTTATTCATCACACATAACCCATTCTATATAAACTCCTCTTGTATACATTTCATACATCAATACAATACAGAGTTCTATACTCTCTATTTATTTCTAACATCCAAATCCCTCAATTGGGTTTTAGTCGATCACGACTGAAAACAAAAGGTTATGATCTCAAATAAAAAGCAAAGGATGACGAAAAAAAAAAAAAAGCTAACAGCAAAATAATGATTTCATAACTTCAGTCATCAGATCGGCAATTAATAACAACTTGATATTATGGCAATAACATTTAATCGTCTAAATTGAATTAGCAGAAAGGTTTTATATTTAACACTTGTAAAACCACTACATATACATTTTATCAATGGAGAATAACAATCTAACCTGACCTTCTGCCACGCCTCATAATAATTGTTATTTCATATCTAATCGCCGAACAGATATGATCTATAGTCATAATCAATTATGAATGAACTAAATACACAGCCAAAAGAACAAAATGCATACACAGAACTGCCAGCAAATTCCATGATCATTCCTATTGTTGCACTGGCAACCTCTATTATATCACAAGCCCAGTTGATGCCAGCAAGTCCTGCTGACCAACCAAAAGAGACGAGCGAGTAAGCTCCTGTAGCTTCCCATCATTTAGAAGTAAAACACGTTCAGCCATTAGCACCGTTTCCAAACGGTGAGCAATAACTAGTACCTGCATCATAAACATAATCCGTATAAGAAAAGTAAAAAATCTGAATTGTGCGCTCGAAAAGAAAGAAGGAAAGAATCCAGTGTCCTTCCAAAGAATAAAAAATCATAATTTAACTGTCTTTGTTACGCCCCAAATCCCAGAAACCTGGTTCATGAGAGAGGTGGAAAAAAAGGGAAAAGAGATGAAACGAAACTCAAAACCAAAACTGAAGTTCCAATGTGGAAACAAACTCCACGTTAACTCCCATAGTTAACGATATCACAAGTGATACATCAACTACACATACGTCAACCTTGCCTTAGCATCATAAGTTTCATAACATATGTACATAGCTTTGACAAAAGAATGAAGAGGAATGGTTAAGTCCGCACTTGGTTCTTTAAGTCCATTCAAGCATATATGGAAAAGGGAAGGAGAATGAGGGTAATTTAACCCTCAAGCAACTCAAACCAACCGATTCATGTCCATTCACATTAATGACATCGTTTATTGGTGCTTGGAGTCTATAGTGAAAACATGAGTGGAAAGTCTTCCCAAAAGGGAACAAAAAGGTCCCATTTTCTTTGAAAAAATGAGAGAGAGAGATAAAGAATGGATGCAAGTATGATTCAATTTCCTAACCATGCTTAAATGCTCTCATTCAAGCCCCAAAATGACCCTTTAAAACCCCAAGACAAGGTCCCGAACACACCCCCGACGTTCGCCCCTTAAACTAGCTTGCAAAGAGGGAAGGGGTTGGTGTCCAGCCCACTTGGAAAGGTCCAACTTATTTGGACCGGTCCAAGTTAGCCAGAACCATCTTGGACGAATCAAAACAAGGACTTGGACTGGTCCATTTTCCTTGGACCAGTCCAAGTTGGACAGAATGCTTTAGTAAGCTAAAAAAAGGCAAATTTTGACCCAAAACAAATCCAATGCAATCCCAACTTGAACCCACCTAGAGCAAGCTTCAAAGACAACTAAAAAAAAAATTCCTTGGACCAGTCCAAGTTGGACAGAATGCTTTAGTAAGCTAAAAAAAGGCAAATTTTGACCCCAAAACAAATCCAATGCAATCCCAACTTGAACCCACCTAAACAAGCATGCTAGAATTTTCATTCTCACCAAGTATCCAAAATCCGAGCTTAGCCACATCATAGCATCATGAACCCAATTCATGTATTACCTTATAATGGCATTCAAGGCGAGGCAAAAATATGGATACAAGAAGTCAAGGGCGAGGGAATGATTATAAGCGAACCCTTAACATGGTATGGTTCCCAAATTATCATCCCTTCCAGGAATGGGTTAGTGAGACACATCCTCCCTACTCAAGTTCCACTACAACGTTTTTCAAAAAAAAGTATCAAATGACCACAAAAGATTTCAAGGTACTGGCTACACTTCTAAAGAGCCAGAACGTCGTCCGCTACATGTCCTTTTCCTGCAAAATAGTGGGGCGACGAATCAAGCAAGCACATAATCATGAAAACGAAGCAATATCAAGGGTCATGCTACCTATGACCTAGTTCAACGTCAAAAGCATGGTTTTAATGCAATAATGAGCATATCAAACAAGGTAGGCCACGTTAAGTCATGAACAATTCATATCATCAATAAAGAGCAATTACACGTCTATTAACAATAACATCAGCAAGTTGAATTTCAACACCAAAAACTACAACTTATACAATGAAGAAATCATACCGAAATACAAGCGAACCGGGATTGCTCATAACTCACACACCCGAGTACGTGCCGAACTCCCGCACCCCTGCCTCGTCCTTTCCGGGCTACTAACCCGCCGGTGACGCAACCGCTTGGCCAAGTTTTGGGGGCCTTTCACCCCGGAGAACACCCATCCCCTCTTACTTACACCCGAGACAATCCCGAAAATCAACACCAAATTCCACGAGGTAGCATGTTGTCACATATACCGCACTTATAGCACCTCACAAGCGCATTCAAGTAATGCTTTTAAACACCCGCAACATGCTCTATATCACGTTACTACCATGGCACGTAATCAATGCAAGATAAGGCCAACATTCATCGACATTATCTCATTCAAGGAGCTAAAAACGCCTTTTACACATTTTATCAAATACCTAGTGTGCAATCTCAACAATAATGCATGAATGAACATTATCCACCTTCATTTCATTCCAAACACATTAACAATATTTCTACATGATTCTAGTCCCATTCTAATAACAATTTCAAGCAAGCAATCATAATCAACACATAAGGACCTTGAGACCCATCATGTAATCCATATCAAACCCATTTAGAACATGAAACTCATCATGTAGCATATCAAATTCATATAGAACACACAACCCAACATGTGTAGCATATAAAAATCATAAAAAGCATGAAACCCATCACATATAGCATATGAAAATCACTTAAAGGCATTAGACCGATCATGTGTAGTGTAGCAAAACCATATAAAGCATGGAACCCATCAAGTGTAGCATACTTAAATTGTATAGAACATGAAACCTTCAAAGTGGCATGTTAAAATCATATATAACACGGAACCCATCCCATATTGCAATCTCGCGGTGAACAAATTTCTCTCTCACCTTCAAATTCGGACCCAAAGTGGGTCAATTCTAGAGAGAGAAAGTAGATCTAGAAGGTTTCTAGAGAGAAAGTACAGAGAGAGAGTGGCCTATTCATGTGGCCTTCAATAGCCCAACTCCTCCTTTTTACACTCCCTACTCTTCCCTAATTATCTTTTTACCCCAACTTCTTTTAATTTACCACCTTGCCCCCTAGCAACTTCATGAAATTACAAGAGTGCAAATTTCCACCGCACATAAACCAATTAGGCCCTTAAAGATTTTTAATTAGACCCCCGACAATTTCTGAGCACTCAGCTCACTCCGGACCCACTTGCCCGACTCGAAACGAACCCGACCAAGTGAAAATGAAAACCCAGAAACACTCTGAATGAAAGGGAAAAACCTGGAACTCAAAAACAAATCTACAGCAAAAATCATGACTGACCCGTGACGGAATCTTTTAAAAGAAAAAAAAGAAAAAAAAAAAGTACGGGTTTATACAATCTTAGAAAACTATAGCGAAGCAAAATCTTCTCCCATTCCCCTATTTCTCAACGTCAGTCAATTGTTGCCAGAACTAAGAGGCTTGAATTACAATACAGTGCTGTAGTGGCATTTAGTGAGATGGAACGGATGGTACAAAGGGTTTCACAAAACCTATCAAGTTCCTAAAAGGTACTGCAAGGACAATCAAGCCTCTTAGTGCTAGGACAAAGAGAGAGAGAAAAGAAAAAAGGAAGACAACAACAACGTTCTACAAGAACAATCAATCTCTTAACCAAGGACAAAAATATGAAACAGTTCTTCATGAACTGAAATGTCAAATGTTATACAGATGGTAAAGGGATTCGGGTGGCTTATCCTAAAATGGTGCTTGGGGGGCTCAACTTTAAGAAAGATCAGGATTCCATCCAGCATGCCACAAAATTTAGTGGGCAACCCAAGCCCATACAGTTCATATTGCATAGATAGAAAAAAGTGGTGCAGCTTGCCAATTTATACCACCGCTTCAATTATATTCTAAATAGTTAACTCTAAGCTTTGAATCAATAAGAATCAAATATTGAGTCAAAAATCTTATATACAAATTTTAATTTGTTGATTGTACAACCTGTGTTTTGCCTCGCACATATTTTTAGTTCCAATGACCAAAGAAACAGAGTTAGAGTCATATTAGTAGCTGGGGCCTAGAGGTGCAACTCGGGCTGGTTGAGGGACTAATCCAAGCCCAACCCGATTTCACATTTTTAACTCGGGTTAGTTCGGGTTGGCCCGCCCAAGTTGCACCCCCTAACAGAAGTTCAGAAGGGGAAAAAAACACTAATTCTAATTTAAAAATTGAGACGAAAAGACATATGTTAAAGCAAATGGGATCAAGTAATGTCCTTACGGTACGATTTTCCATCAAGCGCTGCAATGCTTGTCTCACCAAAAACTCAGACCTGCTGTCTAAAGCAGAAGTTGCTTCATCCAAAATCAGAATAGAGGGATTCTGATAGACAGTCCTTGCTATAGCTAGTCTGAAATTGTAATTGAAATTGATAGTAAACATAAGAATCATTGAGATTATGATAGTGTTCCACACTGATCTAGAGCTAGATGTATCTGTTATTATATAACCAAGTCAAACATTAGTTTCTACTAACAAAAACCATTAAAAAGGAGGTTCTTTCTAAAGCTAGGCCGAGTTATCACATAACATATCAATAGCAGAGTTAAGGTTTAATTATGATAACCCACCTTTGCTTCTGTCCTCCACTTAAAATTGAGCCCCTAGTTCCAATATTGGTTCCATACTGTTCTGGGAGAGATTTAATGAAATCATCAGCATTTGCAGTTTCTGCTGCTAGCTCAACCCTCTCCATGTCAATTTTAGCCATTAGATCCCTGTACCCAATGTTTTCAGCAACTGTCCCTGAAAAAAGTGTCTAACAGAAATGAAGTTGTAACTTCAATCAACCCTTGCAAGCACTTGACAACAATATGACAATATTTGGAGGGAAAAAAGAGCAAATTGGGCGCATAATAAATATGGCCTTTGACAAAAATCTCCTCCAGGGTTTTGTTTGATAAGAGATCATCACCATCCCAGGTGAGGGTCATGACCTTTAGTTCTTCCATTTCAACTGAAGTACAACACACAAAAAGAGGGGACCGGAAATGCTGCATTAATTATGCCTGAAACCTCATTTAGACAAGTTAAATAGATCCCTATTTTATGCCAATTTTATGTTACTTCAATGCTGTTGCACTTTTATTTACATTTTCTTATGTTCTAGCAGTCAACGATATTTTGAATATTTTTAGATATACAAGAATAGACTGCGGTATTGCCCCTTGGGTTCCATTGTGGGTCAAGTTATGTCACCAGGTCTTTAAATGTGATTTTTAGTAGGTCTAAAATAATCGCTGGTCAAAGTTTCAAGGTATACCATTTTGGCGTCCCAGTCTTAGTTGTAGAGGAAGGGGAAGTCTATTAACCAACACACACACACACATATATTTAACAAAGAGTTTTGAGAATTTAAAAGTGTAACTGTATAACATAGTTTACTTCTTGGAGTGAAGCAAAACGATTATGGGTAAGATTCAGATATTCAGTACAGACCACCTTCAATCCTTGTAAATTTTAAATCTAAAAAAAATTCAATAAACTTTTTCTAAACAAAACTAATCCCAAGTAATACAATTCTAAATTCTCTATTGTTGTCCTACATCAGTTTCGTAACGGAGCTGAAGGATCTTATTTCATCCCCATCAAATGTTTGATATAATTTCTTTTCTGTTGCATTGGTAAACACATAAAAATAAAATTCTAAGTCCAAATTTAGTCTCAACATCATGAAAGCTTGCAGAAGACCTTGATTAAGTAGAATAATAAGTAAATTCAATGGATGATGAGTTGAGCTCTATTGAAGCATCTACAGCTTTGCTAATTTGTTGCTAATGACTAGTTAGAAGGCTAATGTTGTTGCTTTTTTAGGTAAGGGTCCAGCTGAAACAGGTAAAATTCAAGAATCAGAGTAACTCAATTTTATTTCGACTTCAATCTCAATAACACATTCTTGTGGATCAAAAAGACTCATGTGCATGTGCAATAAGCAAAGATTGAGACTATTGTGTTAGGCTTTTAGTCTTAGGTTGGCAAATTTCACAAGACAAAAACTCAATCATGCAATGTAATTTTATTTTTATTTTTAATGAGAGAATTAGTAGTTAGATGTTATTGAGTGTGAAGTCTACACTTGGTGAAGAAAGTCACATCAAAGGACAAGACTGTCAACTTCGTCTACATCAAAAATACAAGAATGTCAACTTCATCAAGTCAGAGAATACAAAGGTAATATCACTTTTTTTTTTTGATAAGTAAAAATGAATTAGAAGGCATTCAAAAAGGGAACGCATCCCAAGAGCTGTACAAGAACTATGAACAAAGACCAAAAAAGCCGAAGGATCCAAAGACCCCAAAAACTCTTCAACGAAAGAACAATCTCTCCCCATGCCCCAACTAAAAAGAGAACAAATAATAGAATACTTAAGAGCCCCAATGGGTAATTCCTCCCTAGCAAAGGATCTTCTATTGCGCTCTTTCCATAGACACCACCAAATGCATAGGGGAGTCGCCCTCCAAAAGTCATGAACTCGAGCCCCCACCATCTGTCGCCTCCAAATATCGATAAGACCTTGTGAGGTCCGAGGCATAACACACTGAACGCCAAAAAGACCCAACATAAGACTCCAACAGTCATAGGCCACTGGGCAATGTAAGAGAAGGTGGTCCACAGACTCTCCATTGGTCATACACAGACAACACCGATTAACAATGACCTGTCTCCTCTTCCTCAAATTGTCCAGAGTCAGGATCTTGCCCCAAGTAACAGTCCAAGTAAAAAAAGCGACCCTAAGAGGAGCCTTCGAATGCCAAACAGTTTTCCATGGATAAGAGGGAGACTGAAAACTGGAAAGACAGAAGAAGAAAGACCGGACCTGAAAAGTCCCCCGCGAAGAAGGCACCCAAGTCAAAAGGTCCTCCCCCGTGCCTTCCACCTCCTGACGATACAAAAGATCCAAAAAAGCAGTAACATCATCCAGCTCCCAATCCTGGAAAGCTCGCCGGAACCGAACATCCCAAGATAACCTACCGCTATCAAGGCGATAGCAGTCAGCAACCAAAGCATGGCAATCCACAGCAATCCTGAACAACCTTGGAAACTGTTGACACAAAGGACGTTCCTCGCACCAAGGATCCTCCCAAAATCGTACACTCCGCCCTTCTCGAACTCTGAATCTAATATGATTAGAAAACTCATCCCAACCCTTCCCAATAGATTGCCACACACCAACCCCAATAGCAGATCTAGCCTGTCTAGCAGACCAACCCCCTCTATCCTCCCCAAACCTGCAAGCAACGATCTTCCTCCAAAGTCTATGTCTTTCACTGCCAAACCTCCGAAGCCATTTGCCAAGAAGGGCCCTGTTGAAAGGGACCAACCTCCGAATCCCAAGGCCTCCTGACTTAAACGGCTTGCAAACCTGCTCCCATCGAACAAGATGATACTTAAACTCTTCCCCCCTACCACCCCAAAGGAAGTTACGTTGAATCATCTCAAGTCTCCTGACAACAGAAGGAGGAATCTAGAACAGGGAGAGGAAATAAGTTAGTAGGCTGGACAAGACACTCTTCACCAGAGTTACTTTTCCTCCCTTCGAGAGATATTGTTTTTTCCATCCAGCCAACCTTCTCTCGAAGCGCTCAATAACTGGATCCCAACAGCCCGCCCTTCTTGAGGAGACCCCCAGGGGCAAACCCAGATAAGAGTTAGGGAAGGAACCCGTCCTACATCCAAGAACAGCTGCCAGGGAATTCACCTCCTGAACCTCCCCCACAGGGACAAGCACACTCTTGCTCACGTTGATTCTCAAACCAGAAACAGCCTGAAAACAGACCAGGACACATCTCAAATATCTCAATTGGGACACTTCTGCCTCACAAAAAACCAATGTATCATCCGCGAACAGAAAGTGAGAAATCTCCAATTGATGAATTGCCTCAGGACTTATCTTGAAACCCCGAAACAACCCCAATGAAACAGCCCTCCTCATCAGCCTACTAAGAGCCTCCATAACAATAATGAACAAGAAAGGGGAGAGGGGGTCCCCTTGCCTCAAACCACGAGAACTACCAAAAAACCCCGAAGGGGAACCATTAACCAGCACCGAGAATCTGACAGACGAAACGCAAGTAACAATCCATTTCCTCCATCTCTCATCGAAACCCATCCTCTCAAGCAAATAGAACAAGAAATTCCAGCAAACATAATCATAGGCTTTCTCAATATCCAGCTTACACAAAACTCCAGGAACGCCACTACGAAGCCTAAAATCCACACATTCACTGGCAATAAGAACGGAATCCAGAATCTGTCTGCCTCCAATAAACGCGTTTTGAGACTCTAAACAACACCTTCCAAACCAACCCCCCCCCCAAAATCTGGAGGCCAAGACTTTAGCGATGAGCTTATACAAACACCCAATCAAACTGATAGGACGAAAGTCCTTAATGTCAGAAGCTCCCCCTTTCTTTGGAATCAAAGCAATAAAAGAAGCATTCAACGACTTTTCGAACTTCCCAGTGGAATGGAACTCATGGAAAGTGCCCATAATCTCCTGTCTGACCACCTCCCAACTTTCCAGTCGAAAATTCATAATGAAACCATCCGGGCCTGGAGCTTTATCACCATTACAACTCTTCAAAGCCATCAGGACCTCCTCCTCCATAAACGATCTCTCCAGCCCATCCCTATCCTCCACTGAAATAGAGTCAAAATGAAGACCATCAAGTGTTGGCCTCCAGTGGAGAGGCTCAGTATATAACCTCTGATAAAAAGAAACAATCCCCGTTCGCACCTCCTCATCGGAAGTCAACAGCGAACCATCCACCCGAATCTGACCAATATGATTGCCCCTCCTATGTGCATTGGCCATTCGATGAAAAAACTTAGTATTGCGGTCACCTTCTTTGAGCCACAAAGCCCGAGATTTCTCTCTCCACGAGATCTCCTCCATCACCGCAATCTCAGCACATTCAGCCTGACAAGCTGCTCTCCAAGACCGTTGAGAGTCGTCAAGACCTCCCGCCGCATCCAAACGATCAAACTCTGCAATATCATAGAGGGCCCTATTTTTCCTCCACTCCAGATTGCCGAACACCTCCTTATTCCAGATTTTAATTTTATCTTTCAGAATACGAAACTTTCCTACAAGGATAAAGCTCGAAGTACCCACCACCATGTCCTCCTCCCACCAAGTCCGCACCAAACCCTGAAAGTCCGCCGCTCTAAGCCACATATTTTCAAATCTGAACGGACTACGACGAGGGCTCAAACCTCCACAATCCAAAACCAAAGGAATGTGATCCGACGTCACCCTAGCCAACGCAGCCTGAACTGCATCCGGAAACTGCTCATCCCATTCACCGAAGATCAAGAATCTATCCAGGCGTGAAAAAGTAGGCATCTCCCTACCGCAAGACCAAGTAAAAGTAGCTCCCTCCAAAGGGAGATCAATAAGTTGATGATTATTGATGAATTCCGAGAAAAGCCTCATAGCCAGAGTCCATGACCCACCTGTAGACCTCTCCATCGGGGATCTAATCACATTAAAGTCACCTGCCACACACCAAGGAAGAGACCACATCTCCTGAACCGCACTAAGCTCCTCCCACAGAATAGGCCTCTCACAATCATCCACCGGCCCGTAGACACCTGAAAAAGCACAAGGAAAGCCATCCTCTTCCAACACAAAGGCACATGACAAAGAGGACATCCCCCTACACACATCCATCTTATCCATCCATCTCCTATCCCACATCAAAAGAATACCTCCGGAAGTCCCAACTGAATCAAGCGCCTCCCACTCAACGAATCTA